TTTGAAACTTGTCTACATAGCATTTTATCAAAGGTAGCTTGTCTTGGACATACAAAATTGAAGTTTTCTAACATCTCACAAAGTTCTTTTATCAAAAAGGCTTATCACAACATTCTAGCTATAAGTATTACTTCACACAAAGCTCCCCTTCCCCCCTCCCAAAGTTCTTTTTACTCATCCGGTCATAGTGCAGAAAAGTACACCATTTCAATAAAAGACAATTCCATTGTTAATTTATTCCTTGTATTTCATGAAGATATTGTACATAAATGCTTTCAAATTTATATCTAGCTGCTCATCGCAATATCTTAAAACCAGCAGTATGCTATCATTGAAAGCTAATCACAGTGTCTTCTTTCACACAATACAATATCAAATACCATGCAACCCGCATCGTTTCACCAGTTCAATTATACCAGGAACTAAGGATAAAAAGAAAACACGCCTCAGTCTCTGCCAGTCAAGCACCGAGGTCTCAATTTACTTTTCATGCATGCCAGCAAAACAATTTGTAATTTGAAAATGATTATGAAAATATTGTTTCTGGCTTCCATGTTTCTGGAGGGGGAAGGGCTATCGGGTATGGAGTGTAAATCATTTTCACACTTGTGCAAACAGAGGCAAAACAAGCAATTTTGCAATTATTTCTCAGTTTCTACAGTACACAGAGGTCAATACCCTTGCTCATGCCTGGTAGTAGGAGTTCCACCATGAAAAAAAAAAAAAAAACATGTTCTGATCTATTGACCAGAAATGGGAGATACGCTGAAGAGAGAGGGGGAGGAAGGGAGAGAGAGGAAGGGAGAGAGAGGAAGGGAGAGAGAGAGGGATAAAGAAAGAGAGAGGGGGAGGAAGGGAGAGAGAGGAAGGGAGAGAGAGGAAGGGAGAGAGAGGGATAAAGAAAGAGAGAGTGGGAGGGAGAGATGAGAGATGCAAAAAGAGGGGATAAACTTGAAAGCTGAAAACAAGTAAAAGTCTATGAATGATAAAGGAAGGTACACAAACTAGTGAGAAGATAATGGAAAGAAAGTGATACACAGTTTACATCTGTATACACCTGGTATCATTATGGAGGAGAAAAGTGTATGTGTGAGTGTGTGTGTGTGTGTGAGAGATAGATAGAGAGAGAGAGAGAGAGAGAGAGAGAGAGAGAGAGAGAGAAATAATGATGATTAAAATGAGTATCCCATTTGCAAATTGGGGAATCACATGACATAAACATCAGAGGAAATAAACCAATCACAGAGCTAAAGGCTACTTTCATACCTGAGGGAGGAGACTAACAATTTTGCCCCTCCCTAAGCTATTCACATACCACCTGTCATTTGACCCTATAACAGGAGAAATGTTACAGGTTTTACCTAAAAGGGATAGTTGAGTTCTGTTTCCACACCTCAAATGCCTTCAAGGTGCATGGTTATTGCTCTAATTCTTCTCTATCACATTTCTAGTGCCATTTCAGGACCTAAAATTGCTATGAAGGTAATTTTAGACCCCCAAAAGTGTGAAATTTAGCCAAAACGATCATATCAATTCAGCTCCACTTTCAAAAAAATATGGTGAGCGTTAATTAAATAATTAATTAATTAAACATAGCAATATATGGGCCAGCTGCATGGTTGTGTGTAATATAACCAACACGAAAATGCCAACTAAAAAGCCAACATCGGCATTGGCTGAAATACGACGTAAAAGGCGCTATTTCGTTTTTTTCAACAGCTTTTTCAAATTATCTAATATTTGTGGTAGTAAACAAGTATTAGAAATTGTTATATTTATGGATATTTCAGCCATCTCTGAACCGATTTTGATCAAACAAAGATGATTTTGTCATTTACATTGTGAATTGATTGAATTGATTTGATATTTTTTAATATAAAAACATTCACATCATATCGGTGTACAATTTTCAAAAGTTATATATATATATATATATTTTCAAAATTATATCTTTACTTAAGATGAGGCCTAGAGGTCTAATACTCCTGCTTGAATAAAAGATCTGCCCCCTCATGCACACTTCAATAGACCCCTATGAAAAACATCACTTGTGTACGTGTGTACGTGTTCCATCCTACAAGTAGTGATACTTCAGTTATATGACACACATCTTAGGTATTCAAGCATATGAACAATTATTTTTATTTTAGACTCACGCATACCTGCTGGATTAACAGCTATCCCATTGCCCCCAAAACTTTAATTTTTTCTCTCCCTCTATATCTTTCTCATTCTTTTTCTCTCCCTCTTTCTGTCTATGCCTGTCTGTCTGTCTGTCTGTCTGTCTCTTATAACTCTTTTACTTCCTTTCACTACAGGTTCCAGATTTTGAACATCAAAGTAATGATACTGACATAAGGCCTGACTTCATCAGCTCGAGATTGCCAAATAACCCGGTATTTTAACTATCCTGATCGCAAATTATCCAGATAATTTGCGTCTTCATTAGCCCACAGTTGCAATCAGCGAGATATTTGGAAGACTCCACTATGCAGGAACACATTTTTAGTTTCGAGTCGGAGTCTATAGCTGATGAAGATACGATTTGTAACTGCAGGCTTATTTCCAAAATCAGAAGAGCAATCTCGAGCTGATGAGGACATACCTACAAAGAACAAATGAACCAGATCATAAACATGCCTAGTCTACTCTCTCATAACCTGCAAAAATGTGTACCGGTTTGGTAAAACCAGTCACTCAAAGATTTTTACTTTTTTGAGGCACTTCACGATCATTCTGAAGAACAATTTTGTAGGGCTTCAATATTACACCATATCACGTAGGGCCATGCATCTCATATGTAACATTGTTAAACGATGCCCTTAAAGAGAAGATTTGGTTCGGGGAAAGGTGAAAAATTATTTTCTATTCAAGCTATTTAAGGAAGAGGTCTATGTAACATCTCCATTCAATACAAATTAAGGTTACAATTTTCCCCCAAATCATCAATACCTTTATCAATAACGTTTATAACATATAAAGCCAAGGTATTAAATATTTAAATACAATATATACACTTTTCTACTAACATTTCTTAGGGCTATATCTTTGTAGCAATTTCACGCAAAAAAACCTTTAAAACTAGGGCCATTTACACTTGCATCCAAACATGCCAAAAATGGCGAACCGGAGCCTGACCCCGATGTTTCAGTGACGTTACCAAGGCAACTATGCTTTACCGACAAAAATGTCAAGCCTGTAATCAGCTAACAATGGAAGTTACAAACTGATTCAGCCGAGGACGCAGGTTCAAAACTGAGTCACATCTTTCAGATGGTGACGTTTAAAGGTCAGTCCCTAGACGTAAATAATCACATCTGATTGATACACGTCTGTAAAAAACCAATACACACATGCACAAGTGTAAACAGTAGTGCAAAACATCACAATTTTTAAAAAATTAGGTATTTGACAGTATAAATGCGCCTACTTTAGAATGTATCTTTAAGACCAAAGTGCAGTCTTTTAATGGAAGGGGTGATGGTTTAGCAAGTGCTTTTTCACCAAGATTTGTTGTGATCAGCAGTTGCCTTATCCTCTAGAGAGGAGTTCATGAAATTGTAAACTGATGCCACCAATGGAATTCAAGACATAAATTCAATTGATTCACAGTACTTTTTCCTCTTTCCAGTTTGTAAAGTAATTCGCTAGCTGAAAGAGTTTAAGTGAGTTCTTATCCAGCTCAAGTCAAAGCTTTCAAGAGAAATAGGATGTGTAATAATTCATCCTGGAAATTGATTTGGCAGATATAAAGTACCAGATAAACATGTTAGCTATCAAATTGCATGAGTGGGCCTAATTTCCAGTACAGTAATAATGCTATTTCAGAGGGAACCTGTGCAGGTATTTTTCAATCATTATTTAGAAAAATATCACCACAGCTCAAAATAGACTGCAGTAATAAAACCCTGAATACATCAATCTTTCTCTTCCTTCAGTACCCCCTCCCCTATGAGGCGCCGTTTGTAAAACAATTATATAGACAAATTATATGTTATATAATCATTATTTAACAAATAATAACCATTATTTACATATAATGCAAGAAAATGTACATTTTTATTTGTATATAATTCTTAACACATTTTTATTATTTATAAATAATGACAAAGAACGTTTCATTATTTATATATAATTGCCATTATTTATAAATAATTACAATTCACACTTTCATTATTTATATATAATAAAAAGCGTATTTCAATTATATAATATATAATGAAAAGCACATTTCCATTATATAATATATAATGAAAAGCCATTTCCATTATATAATATATAATGAAAAGCGTATTTCGATTATATAATATATAATGAAACACACATTTCCATTATATAATATATAATGAAAAGCCATTTCCATTATATAATATATAATGAAAAGCGTATTTCCATTATATAATATATAATGAAACGCACATTTCCATTATATAATATATAATGAAAAGCCATTTCCATTATATAATATATAATGAAAAGCGTATTTCCATTATATAATATATAATGAAACGCACATTTCCATTATATAATATATAATGAAAAGCGTAGTTCCATTATATAATATATAATGAAAAGCACATTCCATTATATAATATATAATGAAAAGCACATTTCAATTATATAATATATAATGAGAGGCGTATTTCCATTATATAATATATAATGAAAAGCGCATTTCCATTATATAATATATAATGAAAAGCGCATTTCCATTATATATTAAATAACGATTGTGTATGCAAATGTCAATGGTTGGTAACGCCCATAATATGAATATTCATGAGCTTGACTGATATTATTATCCTCTATTCCAGGCACCTTTCCATTTTGTGTTCTTTGTGCATTCTTATCAGAAATCCTACGTGCGGTAAATAAGTCTCTGTATCACCATTCTCCTTCTTATTTGTATGCAGATTTGGTAATAATGATTGATAACTGTAATCATCCTCATTATTTTAATAAGAAATTTTTCTATCTGTGATGGAAGTATTTATGTACGATTGCCTGATCTGATGACAAGACTTTCGCTGCATGCATATTTAATGTATGACGTCACCCACACAGAGTGAGAGCTCGAAGTTTTCTTTGAAAGTTTGATGGTGAGTACAGCTGTAATTACGTTCAAATCTCGTAAATTGAATCATATTTATAAACATATCTGCTGTAGGTATGAATCTGCTGATTTGTCTGTACGTTATGAAGTGGTTTAAAATGGTTATATCTGATGAATTTAGGAGTAATCTACACTCGAACTTTTGATTCGTTATTTATCGTCGTGAGAAATATTTCAGCTCGATTGCCATCGTCACTCCTTGATCCTTGGCCCAAACTTTCGGGCGAGACCCTCTCTGAAAATTAGATACGAGTATATGGTCTATAGGCAGATCACTTCACTAGCGCTAGCTGCATCAATGATCCAAGCTTTTTGTTACGTTTAGGTCCAACTGTTGAAAAACTACTTTCATAGTTGGGTCAGAAGAAAGTTAATAGCTAACACTAATAAGCATGGTCACAGTTGACATGAGTTGTGAACAAGCGCCAAAATTTAGACCAGATACCGAGATAGTTAGACGAGTACGAGAGTAGAAAATTTGAGGACTAGGCTAGCCCTAGGCCTACAGACCAGTAAATAATTGGACTACCTGTGAACAGGCGTGGATCCAGGATTTCTTAGGGGGGACCCAAATTTGAAAAAAATCTGCACCACCCCACTCTTACATGCAGGTTCCGCTAAACGTTTCTCTAAGTAGGTGAGGGGGGGGGGGGGAGGTATTTACGATCAAGTAGAGCGTTGTGAAATTGGCGTGGTGTCTAAGGGCAAAGAATGTGCGGGGGTCAAGGGGTGGAACCCCCAGAAGCTCAGGGGTATAGGCATTTAATTGCGGTCAGATGAGCATATTAGCATACCTTATTTGTGACACTGGCAGGACACTAATTGGCGTCACTATTCTTTCTTTCTTTATGAATTTGCCATTGTCCCACAAACGCATTAAAAAGTATAATTTATTAAACATTGAGGAAAAATCTCGGAAAATTATGTCATTTCAGCAACATTTGTAAATCACCGGTATCGAATTAGAAATAAACCATGTTTGAATTATATTTGGGGGGCATCTGTCACCCCCCCCCCAAGTCCCCTTCCCCATCAGTACGCCAGTGCCCCTCCCCCCGATCTACACATAACTGATCTCCCCTTGCTTTCTTCTTTCTCTTTTTTTCTTTCCCTTTCTCTCCTATTTCCCCCTATACAAATTTAAGTTCGTCGCGAACTCGTATTATGCTCGTGGTAAGCTTAATAAGATCGTTTTTTAGGCTTTAAGCTCGTAACACGCTCCCAGGACGCTTGTAACGATCTTACAAAATCTTGGCGAGCTCGTGCACGAGTTCGCCACGAGCTCGTGGCGAACTCGCGGGTAAACTGGGGAGCTCGTGGCGAGCTCGTGGATAAAAGAGGGAGCTCGTGGCGAGCTCGTTGGTAAAAGGGGGAGCTCGTGGCGAGCTCGTGGGTAAAAGGGGGAGCTCGTGGCGAGCTCGGGCGTAAACTGGGGAGCTCGTGGCGAGCTCGGGGGTAAACTCGGGAGCTCGTGGGGAGCTCGTGGGTAAAAGGGGGAGCTCGTGGCGAGCTCGTGGGTAAAAGGGGGAGTTCGTGGCGAGCTCGGGGTTACAATGAGGAGCTCGTGGCGAGCTCCCCAGAGCTCCCCAGAGCTCGCCACGATCTCGCTGGTAAACAGGTGATCCAGCTCCCAGGAAAACAGTTAGGTATACAGTGTGAGTCCCAAAAAAATTTACACCTAGAAAATTGCTAATTATTTTAAAAATTATCTGTGAACAGTAAATTATTATACATTCTATGAAAGAGTGTTTTATCTTGAATCATTTAGTATCATTTTTGTGTGGTATGTTTGGATGAACAGGAGGCATTGTATGCGAGAGTGCAAAAATCGACTTGCGCCAAAGTTGCTAATGTGATGTTTGAATAAAACAATTGCGATATGGGTATTATTTCAGTCATTACAGATCAACATAACATCCCAAACAAAATTAATCATGCCACACATATCAAAAACTGAATATAAAATATCAACGAACATTGTTAGTGTGTTTGCTTGTGACTTTGCTTCTGCAAAAAACATATGCCATGCATTTCATTTGTAAAGTATTTTAAAGTTCCCTTCAGGATGCCAATTTCTTTAATTTATTCTATTAATATATGTACATGTATTTTTAAAATGTCTTGGGCCAAGGAAAATGAGTTCCTACTTCCTAGTTTCTTGTCTCCACCAGCATCCTTTTTATGTAATTTTTTTTTAAATAAAAAAAATATTGATCTGAAGATATCTCTCACCTGAAATAATTAAGGTAAACAAATGCATACTTTATTATTTTGATACATTTTTGAGCCTCTTTGTCAGAACATAAATTGTATATGCAATTACATTGAAAGTTCAGAAAATTTGTGTTGAAATTGAAACAATAGCTTTTTCATGCTGAAGTAACCTGTCAAATTACTTGTAAATTTAATTAAATTCTTTTGAAACTTTGAAACATTTATTTGCAGCATACCAGATTGGGAAGGGGGGGGGGGGGGTTGCCATTTATTCTGACTGTATCATATATTTAACACCTTGAAATGTCACTATCAGGTATTACATAAGAGCACACACCCAGACCTTGATTCGAGGTCAACTCCCTGTTTCTAACTTGCTCTCTCCTTATGTACATAGGATTCCCCAGTGCTAAGACACAAATCTCTATTCCTCTCTTCTCCCCACTCTCACTTTCTTGTTTACTCTCTCTTGTGGAATTACCACTGGTAGCATTCCTGATAAGAATGAATTGATGTGTTAGTTATAGGCCACTTTGGGCAAGTCTTTCTCCATCTTGCTTTTGTAGAGAGCAGACATGGGTTTTGAATGGTATTGCAGCTCCTTAGTTTTAGGTAAGAGAAAAACTAATTCCTCACACCTTATAACTAAATGTTCTACTTGTGTATTTATAGGCCAACAGTTAGGCCTACCTCTCTTATACATTTATGAAAGAGAAGTGTAGAGTAATGATTAATGAGATAAAGTATTTATTCTCTTTCTAGTGAGATATCTTTTCATATATTGGGAAGTTTGTTTCTCTATCTATATAGCACATAGTATATACACTTCATTAAAGTAACATTAGATATAATCTATGTGATAAGGTTATACTCATGTAAATATTCCTGTATCTTGACTGACAAACCCTATCATTTAGGCAACATGAGAGCACATTAATGCATTTTGTCTGAATACTGAAAACTAGTTTGCTAGCGGATATAAAGAAGGGATTGTTCTAGAGATCCTATAGTATATGTACATGTATCATTACTTGGTACCCTGGGTTGGTGAATACACTGACAAGAAGGGGGATGCTATATAGTTATTGTATGAATACCGCTTTATTAGTTTGGATCTTTGTAATATTATGAGTGATTAGAATGATGGAATAATTAACAAAATGGATAATAATATTTCTTCAAAGGCAGAGTATTATACAGTGTATTACTCACATATTTAATTTCATTATACAGTGTAATTATATAATTTGGAAATCATTTATTCATTCATATCGTTGTGTGAAGTTGTGAACCCTGCATACAGGTAACATGTATTTTACAGTAACATGTATTTTACAGGGTTTGTATTGACTCTAATAAAAAGATACTTGTTTTAAGTTATATTTTATGTTATATCTTTTCTTTCTGTATACTTTGATGTATTAGTGTTTTCATTGATTGATATCCCAGAAGTAATGAGCTTTTAACTTTCCCTTATTCTAAAGAGGATCACTGTATTCTTCACCAGCTTGCCAACTGAATTGCCCCTGCACAGCCAGCCTGCAGATGTTAACAGGATATTGGAAGGTTGATAAGTTAGATAAATATATATGCATGCCAATAGCTCAACAGGATCATCAAGTTCACCTCTATATGTAGACACAAATTAGTTCTCAATAGGGACTTTTAGATTTGCACGAAGACAATGTAGATTGCTACGGTCGACGTCCTTTTTATGCACTGCCTTCAATGGACGTCACAGGTTTCAGTCCACGCAAATCTAAAAGTCCCTAATGCCAACATGCTGTTGAGCACGCCATTAAGCTCGCAGCCATTTTTTTTCCACAAGATTGTCGACGAACTCGTTGACGAGCTTGTCGACGAACTCGTACGAACTCGTTGACGAATTTGTACGAACTCGTTGACGAGCTTGTCGACGAACTCGTACGAACTCGTACGAACTCGCCAACGAGCACGCCAACGAGCTCGCCAACGAGCTTATCGGCCAGTGATGAGTGGCATATTTGGAGCACGCCAACGAGCTCGCGTGCATGCTCGTAGCTAATTTGCATATTTGGAACGAAACGAGTTCGTCTGCGAGTTCGTCTGCGAGTTCGTCGACGAATTCGTGGGCGAGCACGCTGACGAGCTCGCGTGTTAGCGTACTGAAATTTGTATAGGGGTCCCTTTCCTTTCCCTTCCTACTCTCTGTTTTAGGTTTGCTAGGGGTAGGCAAGGGCCTTTTGGCCCCCCCTCCCCCTCCCCGATCCACACATTGCTGGCGGGATTAATCGCAACTGTTCTCCCCTTCTTATCACCCTTTTCTTTTCTTCTTCCTCTTTTTTGTTTTTTTTTAGCTCTCCTTTATCCCTTTCCCTTCCTTCTCCTTTTTTTTTATTGGGGGGGGGGGGGGGAGGGAGGAGGAGGCAAGGGCCTTTGCCCCCCCCCCCCCCCGAACTACAACTTGTTGGCGGGAAAATTGCAACTGATTTCCCCCTTCTTTTCTTCTTCCTCTTTTTTCCTTCTCTTTATCCCCTCTTTACTTTTTTTCTTTCCCTTTCCTTCCTTCTCTTTTATTTTTTGATGGGGGGAGGGGGAGAGGTTACAGCTGGGAGGCAAGGCCCTTTTGGCCCCCCGATCTCCTTTTCCCCATTTTCTTTTCTTCTTCCTCTTCTTTCTTTCCCTTTCTCTCCTTTTTCCCTTCTTTTCCTTCTCTCTCTCTCTCTCTCTCTCTTTTTTTTTTTTTTGCGGATGGGGGGGGGGGGGGCCAAGGTCCACTCGGCCGCGCCTGTCTGTGAATGTGATACTCGTAGTCGTACAGAGTCTTGTAGCTATCTAACAATTTAAAACACGATCCCCCCAAAAAAATATTCAGTCTAGACTACATTGTATACAGGGATATGTATAGTGGTGCCTGTGTGTTTCTTAAACTCTTTGTTGTCTTAGCCTAATTTGCCTCTGCTCTAGGCTCTATCTTTGAATTTTTGTTTGCTGTAAACATGATTAAGTTTTCTCTGTCATATATAGATCTAGGTCCATACCTTTTTTGCGTTTTTTCAATTTGATAGAATGAACAGTTACGAGACATGCATCTAGATCATCTAGAGACTGTAGATCAACTAGATCTGGATCAAGAAATTTAATATAAATTTCAATGTTAGATAATGAAGGAGGGCTTTTTTGGTAAAGAGAAAATCCAAATTAAAATAGAACAGTTAATTCTGCAAATGCTCATCAATGTTTAAATGATCATGCTCATTTCCTTTTATTCTAAGAATTAAATCCCCCCCCCCCCCTCTCTTTTACAGGAAAATGTACAGAGATACTTGTCGCAGTTAATGCATGCAGTACCAAATGCTTGCTTTCTGGGAGTATGTGCTTGAAACAAGAATGTCCTGGAGAAAACAGACCACCACAAGAGAAGGTAAACATATTTACTTTTGATCTAACTTGATCTGTTTAGTTTTTTTCAAGTAAAACAATATTTGAAATGAGTGAGGTCAAGGCCAAGCTGGAGGGGATGCGAAGGGCTGGTTTGAGAAGTATGTATTAATGGGATGGCTATGTATGATTCCACATGAAAAAATTTGAGGCCTAGGCCTACAATGTACATGCAAGACATTTTTATGTTACAACAGAGATACATGTATGATGTAGGTATCAATGTTTTACTTTCATTCTCTTCTCTTTTCATTCAACAGACATACATGTACAGTATGGACTATGAAGTTCTACTTAGCCTCTTCAATGAACTGCTGGAGCTGCGACTGGGTATCAAAACCTTGGTATTATAAACTTCATAACCAGTGGCGGAGATATGTTGTTAGCCAGGAGGGAGGGGTCAGTGCCCCCCCCCCACTTTTTCAAGTACCCCCAGTATGCCCCTTTTATGGCCTTTTCACATAGGTAAAGTGCCATATTACTTTGACAAGTTCCCCTATTAATTTGTAAAATTGCCCCTTCCCCATTTCACCTCTGATAAGTGCCCCTTATCCTTCGACAAGTTCCCATTATTCTATGCAATAAGTGTTCATTTTCCATTCTCATAACTGCCCTTTTTAATCTCTAGTAAGTGCCCCCTCCATCTCCTGATTAGTGCTCTTTTCATCTCTGATGAGTGTCCCATTTTGTCTCTAATAACTGCCACTTTTATTTGACACGCCCCCTTTTCCTTCCTAATAAATGCTCTTTTTTCTGATCATAAGTACCCCTTACCCTTCTCATAATTACCCCTTTTCATCTCTCATAAGTGCCTTGTTTACTTTAACATGTGCCTCTTTTTCTTTTTAATAAGAGCCACTTCCCCGTTCTCATAATAGCCCCCTTTCACCTCCAATAAATGCCCCTATTAAAATCTGATCTGCACCTCCCTTATTGTCTCGCCTACGAGCAAAAAGTGAGACATAGGCGCTGCTTTTCTGGTGACGGCGGCGGCGACGGCGTCAACATCAAAAACTTAACCTAAGGTTAAGTTTTTGAATTTTTGATATAATTTTCAAAGTTTAAGTTTTTAGTCAATGAAACTTAGACTATAGGGTTATCAAGTATTCCCAATCACGTGAGAATTCCCATTCTCACAAGGGCCTTTTTTCATTCCTGGTGAGTGCATCTTTCTGTAGGTCTAAGAAGTGCCCCATTTTCACCTCTGATAATTACCCTTTTTACATGACACATGCTCCTTTTCCCCTTATCCCTTTAGTGTCCCCTTTTCCTCTCATCATTAAACGCGCCCCTAATTTCAAGCGACTAAGAGTAACTTCCCCCAAAGTTTGCTCGCGTTTATAGATGATATAATTACATTACTTATTAAAGGTCTTTTCAGTCTTCCATTGTGAGAATGTGCTTATAACCCCATCAGGATTGGGTTTTTCCCTCTTAATAAGATGCAATTTTTTGTACTGCGACCTCACAAAACTTAAAATTTTCCTCGCTTGCAAATCAATTTTCATACCATCACACCAAACTGATACTTAAGCAATATCTTGTATGGTGTATAAAGAGAAACAAATGTTGAAATCGTCCCTGATAATGTAATCACAATGTAGGGGTATATACCATTGTCTAAAAAAATGGATATTTTCGCTTTGAGATTCCCTTTTTTTCCAGAAAGTGCCTATTTTGTTGGTGCCCCCCCCCCCACTTTGGAAGACGCTCCGCCACTCCTGGGGGGACACATCAGTCAAAAGTGCGCACAGGGGGGGGGGGAGGGGTTGAGGGGTAATGTGCCCCCCTCCGAAGCTGAAATTTTTTAACCTGGATTTGGTCAAACTCCCAATAGATAAATATCATTCACAATTCTCTTCAAGCAGTACGTGTAACTTCACCTTGCAAGCAGTATGTTTAATTTTTTAATCACCTTGTATATTAGGCCCTGTATTTCAGCTCAAATTGTTTAGTGATTGTGGACAGGCGAAGCAGGAAAATAGAAAATTTGGCCTTCATACACACAACCAGACCAGTGACACCATGAAACAGAAACACTATTACAATGATTACCGGTACTGAAACATAGTTTTCAAACTACCAAGGAGAGGTAACCAGGAACCAAGGTATAATACAATGATGCAATTTTACCCATGTTGTAGTAGTACATGGTAGTAGTATGGATATCCCGCCTCTTCTTTTATGCACATCCTTTCCACTGATATCGCAAGTTTTAGAAAAAAGGGCCCAATGTCTGCATAACTAAGCAAGGTAGGAGTTCATTAAAAACATGATGTAAAACATTAAGTATATCACACCAAAGCATCTCAATCTGACAGCACGATGTGGAGAAAAGTTAATGGTGTAGATAAATACACAAGAAATATGTTCATCGGCAGTCTAAGTCAAGCAATCATTTATAAAACTGAGGCTTTGCCAAGGCATCCATTTTAAGTATGTGTCTATAGGGCAAATAAGATGTAGTCAAGTACTCAAGTTACCACCTGTCAGCCAAGATCAAACTTTTGGAATATAAGAGTTTTGGGGAGGGGTCATCTTTTATCAATTTCTGTTTATTGATAATAATTATAACATTTGGGAATGGGCCTATGAGTATGATTTATATATTGTATAAAACAAGCAACTGTTAATAAAAGGTCTAATATACCTTGGTGCGTGTGTGGACCACGGAGTAACCATCTAACTAAAGGATGTTATATACTATTGTACATTATTATTGTTTCTCTGGAAAAAATTGCAATCATTGAGTCAGGTATTTTTTTTTTTTTAAAGAAATCAGCATGTTTTTATAATGTGTTTTATAATAAGGGTGCAGGTCATGATACAAAAAATTCCCTGGAGAAAAAAATAGTGCTCAGATTTAGCCTAAGTATGCTTTGTTGAATTTTTAAAGAAAAAAGTAATCTACAAATGGAAGTAGCAGATGAGGTCATTTGTGCTTAATATTTGACCATCAATGTTATAATCTGTAAACATATTAGTTTGTTGTAATAAAATGAATAAATTAAACATGTTTATTATCTTATATACAGTATTCCCTTCATATCTTTTCTTTTTAGTGTGCATATATGGTTGGATAAATAGAATCATATGTGGAAAAAATCTGGAAACAAAACGTGAGAGTTCAGAGAGAGAGAGAGAGAGAGCAAAAGAGAAAGGAAAGGAAATGAGAGAACTGTTTAATGGTGAGAGATGTTGATGTCGTGAAAATGAAAAATTTATAATGCAGTGAGACAGCGAGAGAGAGAGAAAAAAAATAAAAAAATTAAAAAATCCATCTTATAAATGCGTTAATCGCCTCGCCGCTATGTGGCTCGTGGGCGATGCTCTGCATCGTCATAGGGACAACCCCCCCCCCCCCTGATAGGCCCTGACAATGAAATCTGGAGAACATACAGATTCACAAGGGCTGGACTACTCGGTCTCGTGGATCAAATAAAGAAATAATGGAAGTTATTATAAAAGTATGTTTTTCTCTCTTGTTATGATAATTGGAGAAAAAAAACCTGTTAATTAGATTATATTAGTTTTAGCTTCAACTGTTTGATATTAATATGCATGTGGGCACAAATAGCAGCAACTGCGGTAAGTGATATCTACGGTATTCCTTGAGCTGCGGTAAATGATCTTATTGTATATGCCACTTACTGGTTTTCCATAGACCTGTGCACAAATGTTATCATATAATGCTATTTAAAAAAAATTCAATAGGATGGTGTACAAATCGAATATATTATGCCATTCTTTCCACTTAACTACATGTTATTCAATATCCGTGTCATTCAAACAATACAGGCAAACATTCCCTGATGTCATTAAGTTTACATCAATCTATCTTGCTTCTCTCCTTATAAACAAGCCATCTTCATTGGAATTCACATCCTGAATTCCAATGAAGATAGACACCTCTCTTGCATTGTACATGAAATATCCATTCACTGATCTCCGCACGAAGTACCCTCAATTTTACGCACAGAAAGCTCACACTAACCCGTAACCAAAACCACCCTGAAATGATGACAATATTCAAAAGATCAATTCATTTGTAATCAAGTGTGGATTTTAATTCATTTGATCCCTTGATAGTCTGGGTTCGGTATACCGAAACAGGGGAGGGAGCAGCTTGTGGCGTGGAACCATAAGGACCAATGAGGTTCTTTTGGGACATAGTTTATATAAAATTACCAAGCTGAAACCTACCCTAATACCAGTCACATAAATCAATGCTCAACTGAGTATTTGTTGCGTTTTCCTCAATCATGACTTGTTGAGTTTTGTGCAGAAGTGCTACAATCCATTGTTTGAGAATGTATATAGCGAGTAGTCCAAATCAGGAGGGTCGCAAACTCCTTCTCAACCTCCATTGTTACATCTTGATTCCTGAAGAGCCTTGTGATTTGAGATGAACTTGGGAGAAGTTCCCACGTTGTTTTGGAGGCACACGCTCCTTGTGCTGACTGCTCCTCTTCAGCAACTACTACAGACAAGTCCACTTGTATCTTTGTAACCAATTCCAATAAGCCAGCTGTTCATGAATAAAATGTTAATTGAAAGAAGAAAAAAAAATCCAATATTGTTACAAGCACTTTAAGATCTAAAGCTGACATCACAAGTATATTTCTTTTTCTTCTTTCTTGTTGTTTTTCTTCTTATAGTAATCTTCAAAGGGCTATTAGTTTTATATAAATTCACTGTTTGCTCAACAGGAGTACATTCCTTATTTTCCATGCCAACAAGAGATCCCAGATTAAAATATTACTTCTCATTATGGTCTGAAATGAAATACCATATTGCCAAACATGTATTTTATTACTAATATACTACATGTCTGAGTAAAAGATCTAATCAAACATTCCGACCATTGTTTTAAAGACCGTCAATACTACTGGGCCAGAAGGGATTAGACCACCCAGCCAGGTCACTGACAGGTGGCTATCTCATCAACTCAGCTCTCAACTAACATAAGAAAGAGAGGATCATGGGGGACCAACAGACACCGATTGGGGAAGTTTTCTATATAGAGAGAGCAAGTAGGACAGTGGGGCTTTAAGAATAGCAATTAGCATTCATAGAAATGGCATAGAATTTACATCCTTAAACTTTAAGCTTTGAAAACCTCGTTTTGATTTGAGTGTAACTTTTGAGTTATTAACAACCAAAATTTTCCAGTGATTTGTTTTTGTTTCACTTTTAGTACACAAACATATTTTTCTTTATCACACTTGCAGGATATAATCATATAAGCTAATTTGATCTTGTACTGCTAGGCTGCCCCCCCCCCCCCCTCCCCCTCTATTATACGAGTGTGAAAAAAGAATACAATTCTTTGTAGCCTTTCTTAATCACTAATCAAAATTTTGAACTTCAGTTAATGTTGTTTAAAGAATATATTATGAAAGTGAGATGGATTGCAGGTGGCAAGGGTGTATTGGTTGAGAATTGCAGGTAATAATTCATGCTCTACTATGAGCCAACTTACTTCACACACTATCATCTTGCAGCAGGGTAAGGTTTTTACAGAAATTTTAGAACTTGCAATGGGATGTACTTAAATATCAACTTTGTACAATAGCAGTATGTA